CAAGTCTGCAACAAAAGGAAAGATCCAGTAAGAAAAGCTAATGATCCCTTGGGGGATTACAGAAGTGCAAAACCTCTAGACCGAATAGGCGTAGATATAATGGGACTGCTGCCTATGACCAGAAAAAGGACAAATACCCTCTAGTGATTGGAGATTATTTTACCAAATGGATCAAGGTATATCCAATTCCGAATCAAAATGACAAAAGAAACACAAACCAATGGAACAATTTTTTTTAGAGCAAACTGTTCTCAGAAGTTTGGAAACTTTTATAAGTCACCAAAACGAGGACCACAACTTATCATTATGTCTCGAACTGTATGATAGAAAAGTTCAACAGGACCTTGGGCGGTATGATAAAAAAATTCAACAATGCAAATGCTATAAATTGAGACTTGTACATACATTATTTGTTATCTGCTTACAGAAGTTGTCCCCATCCATCCAAAGGATATACTCCTAACTGCATGAGCTTGGAAGAGAAATTAATATTTCAAAGGCTATATTATATCCATGCCCAACAGATAAAATATTTCATAATACAGATGACTATATTGTTAAGTTCAGTGTACAATAAGTGTATAGTCTTGCAAGAACACATGTGAGAGTGTATGCGGAGAGACAAAAACATGCAGAATTTCTCAATGTCAATATAAAGTTGGTTCAAAAGTCCATACATTAGAAAAATAAACTATAAATAGAAAATTCAAATCTTCAAGGGAAGGACCATGTTTATTTTCCAAAGTAATTAGCCCATTGGTATTTGAGATAAAAACAAAAACGAAGTCAAAGTAATTCATTTTGAACGGTTGAAAACCCTTTCATTCAAATGATGAGAGTCAAGGGATTTAACAAATGTAAAAATTAATTGTTGAAAGTAGCTGATTTCACTTAACAAACTACTCCTTAAGAGCATATAATTTCATAATGGGGGGAGTGGTCGTCACTCATAATCACCGATGTTTGCGAAACTTAATCTAACCATATAATCAGGTGAAAAAGTTAAAAAAAAGCCCCTAAATATATTGCTAGGTCATGGTTGCCATGGCAACCAAGTTAATGGGTTTCCCTTTACATTTTGGTGAATATAGCAGTGAACAAAACAAATATTTTGCAGTCATTCTGAAGCAAACCCAGATTTTATTTAATGATATTCATTAATATTTTCCCGAAACATTATACTGAATTAACAAAATAGCAATACCAATATTTTTTTCTGTATACAGTCACAATCAAAGAGAAAGGGTCATTTTTCACTGTATTAGTAAATGGCAAATTATACATGTTTTGTAAAAAATGTATGCACCTACCTCCATTCAAGTAGTTGGATTTTTCAAGAAAAGATAAAAGGAAGGAACATGCATTGATGCATGGGGAAAATTTTCAGGATGATGTAAGCCACTATTTTGTTTAACGGTCAACAGTATGAAGTCTTATCAAAAGTGCTTAGCACCAATCCTTACTTAATACAAAGGTACCAAGTAACCATACATGTTTAGATTAAGGGCTATATGGACTATTACATAGACCCTAGTTAAAAGGTCAGAGGTGAATGCCATCACATAAATCCTAATCAACCATTCATTTATACTGGTAAAGTGCCTAGCAACCAATCATTTATTTGACGAAAAAATGCCTATCAACTATTCTTTTTGGAAAAGGGCATAGCAACCACATATTTCTGGGTTCATTGGGACAAATATCCGAAAAACAAATTGTACCAAACATGTAGTTTTGTCTTTGAATCTCTTTAAAGATCACACATTGTATGTACAAACTTGCTGAATTACACCGACTTGATTGTAAACATGTAAAATCCGGAAATAGTTAATTATGTGGCAAATCACTTTTTTTTATTTTATTTTTCGTCGAAAAGCATTATTTTTTCAATGTGTACACACCTATTTCTTTTTTTGAAATCCTATATGGCTGATTTGCATCTGAATGAGCAAAAAACTTTATCCTCAGTTCTAGAGAACATCAAATCTTTTTCTTCAGCATCATTATCCCCATCACAAAATACAGAATCGTCCTTCCTAGCTAATTGAACTACTGTGCATCTGCTCAATTACTATCTTTTTTTACAGTTATTTTTACCTTCAGAAAACATGCTGTATATAAAATGTTCCAAATGCCCTTATTAAGGAAAACAAGAATATGCAATTGATCACTTTTTGAAAAGAAATGTTCACCGAAATGATGTTTTGTATTTTTGTTTATTATGTCAATTTGAGATGATTTCAGCTTTCCAATTGTGAACTTCCCATTTATATGTAGCAACATTCCAGCAGCGCCTACACACGGACTATACATCGCCCAGTTGATACGATATTCCAAGACTTGAATTTCCTATCGTGATTTCCTTGATAGAGGGTTGTTGCTCACAAGGAAGCTATTAACCAAGATTTCCAAGTGGTGAAGTTGAAATCATTCCTTAGTAAATTTTACGGACGCCATCACGAGTTGGTTGGCCGTTATGAAATTACTGTTTCACAGATGACAACAGATATGTTCCATTTGTCGTTACTACATTCCCGTCTTCTTTTCCCCGAATGTAACCTACCGAATTAGACTTACCAACGGATTTGTACTAACATCAGCAACACGACGGGTGCCACATGTGCACCTCAGATCACCCCAATGTTTAGTGGGTTCGTTTTATTCAGTCTTTAGTTTTCTATATTGTGTTTTGTGTACTGTTGTTTGTCTGTTTGTCTATTTCTGTTTTTGCCATTGCGTTGTCAGTTTATTTTCGACTTATGAGTTTGAATGTTCCTTTGGTATCTTTCGCCTCTCTTTTAAGTCTCCTTCTCAAGTCAAATGAGATAATTAAGCACGTCAAAAAGTATACAAAGCAGCTAGTTTGTGTGATGTTAGGCTTTGATATTGTAAAATTATCAATAACAGCAAATATCAATTTAGTATTGGTAATGGTGGCCAGCTTGTTCATATAGGAAACCTTTTTATAGCTTTAGTCATAACAATACCAGTAAAGTTGCACATGCTTGTCAGGCAACAATAGATGCTAAATAAACAGTTCCTGATTATACTGAAGAAGTTATTATTGAGGAGGTAATGGTTCACGAATCTGAGAATATTTTTCAACTTGAAGAAGAAAAATCCAATACTTAAAAGCACGATTGAAAATGAAAGGAAACACTTTGAGAGGAACATTGGCAAAATGGGGGGAAAAACAAGAGTCAATAAAAATTAATTAGAAGTTATGGAAGTTAAATTAGAGAAATTTAAAAAACAAAATGCAAGAAGAGCTAAAAAATAGAGAATGAACTACAAAAATTAAGAAATAACCGCAAGAAACGGTACAGTGACACTTCAAAAGTGAGGAAAGCAGTTAATTTGGATTCAAAAAGACAACATTAATTGTATGAATATTTGAAAAGAACTATATCACGTGCTCGGACATTTTTATAGCTTATATTTTGAATACAATTGTATCCAGTGCTGAAATATTCATATTTAATATTTGATATAAAATTGTTTCAAGTGCTGACATATATCCATAAATGTTATGTTGAATACAACTATTAAATTCTGAATGGGAAAAATTGGAGAACCTCCAGGTGGAACTTTCAGATAAAGACTGTCTCCATATTTTATTAAAACCTGTAAACATTAATTGTATTATACATTTTTATTCGTAGCTGATGCCCGATTTGAATATTTCGTAACTTTGTCATATTTATATTTTAATTTCGAGACGAAATTTTATTTGATAGAGGGCAGTATTATGAACGTTTAATTATATTTTGATAACTTTGTTTGGTCGAAAATATTGTTCCCAATAAATTTGACAGTTTCCAATTTTGCGTAACGAAATTCTTCTTACTTGTTTCATTAGTAACTGCTATTATTACCTGCTTTACATTGCTAAATCAGTGTCAACACACATGAACTCGTGCTTGTTTTCTAAATTATCCCATATTCATGTACTCGCTGAAGAAATACACATGATTTACCTTGAATGTTAACAACCTTTGTTTCTTACACACAGTTTTAGGTGTGATTGGGCGTATAATAAGGGATTCCCAAATGTCAAAACGACTTCGTGCTGATGATCTAACTTTTAATAATGTAAATACATCCGACATACGAAACATACTGCAAAATAACCGTAAAATGTTTCAATTTGTGCCTGTCATTATTGTACTGCTTTCTGAATAATATAGTTATTATTGTTTAAGCTATTTATTTAGTTTAGTATTGTGAGACAACCTTTGACAAAGGCCTTTTGCACAGCAGAAAATAAGGATTCAATACCAGAGAAACTATTGTTTTCACAAGTAAAGGCAACAATTACTACAGACGTCACGGACGTTTGAGAACAGAATAGCAAGAACCAGGTTAGAATTCGAGGAATGACGGAAGAAACAAATATTTGACATCCATCTGGAGCCGAGCATATCTATCACAAACGGACCTTTCAAGGCCATCAATATTTTACAGAAAGAGTCTTCCTTTATTGTACATATGAGACATTTTGTACAAGAGCTTCTTAACATTTATTCTTCATGGTTCGAGAAATGCCCTTTTACTGTTGTTCGTTATAATTTAACAAATGTGACCCCTTCTAAGCGGTGTATACTCAAGATTGTCAAATTTACAAATTTCTTTCACTACGGACTGCGCCCTTAGAGAAATAATTTTTATCGGTTTTCAATATTTACCCCGTTAACGGTCAATAATTGTATATACCCAAAGCAAAAAAGTATTATAACATATGACAAATAACAACAACTCAAACACTAAACTTGTTGAAATATAATACTCGAGTAACACACACATGCATTTCCTGACACCTTTTTGGACCGCAAACCGGAAGTAAAAATACTGTATTAACTAGGGATTCTGTATTAGTCCTGTACATTATTGACTATTTCTCAGACATACGGAATTGTATTCAATGGACAATTTATAATGTATTTTAAGTCATTGATTAATATATAATGTGATAGTATATATATATATTTAAGACAACTCACTGATATGGCAGAATCAATTCACACGTGAACTGTGAATCCCAGCTGGTTAGATTAATGCATTGGTAGTCTGTAAAATACATTTAGTGTAACAGAACATTTATATACATTCTATATTACTTTTATTGAGATCATAATTCATTTGGAAAAACAAATATATAAAATAACATTTAACGGTCAATTATTTTTGGTACTAGGAAAAAAACATGTGGCGGGTTACATCTTTGGTGTTTTCATCACCAAATCCTTCCCCTGTAATCTTGATTAGCGAAATAACAAAAGGGTAAATAGAAAGATGTACAATAATTAGATAGTTACAAAATAAATATTTGGTCTGACGTCCGATGGCATTTTATGAACTGCTTGGGCTTTAGGACGTCAGACGTCAAAGGGAAGTCCATTAAAAACATGGTAATTGCCGATCCATTGTCAAATACATCAATCATACACCATTCGTTTTCTTGTTTATTTTTTCGCCACGAACGTACATTTTATTTACCGACTAACCCCCGTATAACAAATTTCAACAACGTACGTTCGTAGTCAACAATTTTCACGATAATGCGTTTTTTTGTCTGTGCGCATAGAATTATTAGTGTTTATCTCTGCATATGACCCTAGTGATTTACGTTTTGCATATACTAACACAATATGTATTTTCTTCTTACCTATTTGCATTTTTAAACTCCCTTGTTAAGGTATGTGAGAAAGTGACACGATAACGCAATATAAAAGAGAAGGAGGAAGTAAGTCTCTGAAAATTGTGGGTTGTGGAAAAATAAACATTCCGTGTGTACAATAGAAGTAGATGGCAAAAAATACATAAATGGAGAAAATTGATTAGTTGAGGAAAATACTAGTATTTTGAGAAAAGCTTACCATTATCTAATAGTCAGTACAGCTGATTTCAACATTCAATAATATGATCACGTGAGTAGGAAGAGCTTAGTTAAACACTGAATAGAGTTGCAATAGTGTTAATAGTAAAATTATATGTTCATTCATTAAGTGGTCAAAGCTTAGCGCAGTTTATGAAATCTCGTATGAAGCCGTTATTAAAGAATTTAAGAGTCTAAAGTTTCTCCCGTTCAATGTAATTGTTCAAATAATGGATTTGAGTTAATTCTTTCGAAGTCCTGTTTAATAAAAATTTCGTGTCTCGCCTTCGTATATCCGATGACGCTCATTCTGATGTAAAATTCTTCTTTTGAATTTCTGTCATTTAACAATACATGATGATGGAATGGTATTTCAAATATATAGCATCGCCACCAAACACTTACCTGGACTGAGGATGAATCCTGGTGTACAATGTTTCTGGCAACACGAACAATCCTCCATTGACGGAACACAGTAACAACTATGTTTCGGCTTGGTAATGAAGTCGTAACCTCGAGTATAATCACATCGACATTTTCTATCAGAATTTGAAGACCCATTATTGAAAATAATCTGTCCTTCCTCACTGCAGTATGTCTTTTCAAAAATACAAGTTGATGTACCTTTGGTTGAGAATGTAAAGGGTTGATAACTGGAACTTGCGCATTTTCGTCGATCAAGATTACCCGCAATTACAAATTTGTACCCTACAAAAGATTTTTAAACAGACAAAGAAATATATAATTCTTAATCGAAATAATGAACATTTTTACACCTGAATTGAATTCAATGTTCCTTACCTAATCATAGATTATCGATGTTTTTAAAATGTCTCAATGGACAACAATCATTCGTCAAGTTATCGGAATTCCAATGGGGACTAACTGTGCACCACTTATTGCGGACCTGTTGCTGAATTGTTACGAATTACAATTTATGACTAAAATCAGAAAAGACCCATCGAAAATACATCTGATACAATTTTTTTTTAGTTATTTGGATAATATTTTGGCTCTCAAAAATTACGACTTCAGTATGTACACTGAAGAGATTTATCCTGTTGAACTTACGTTAGATAAAGCTAATACTAACAATGAACACTGCCCTTTCCTGGATCTTTATATCTATATTTTTAACGACATCTTAATATTAAAATGTACGATAAAAGAGATGATTTTTCATTTTCTATTGTTACAAAACCAGTTTTAATCCACCATTTTCTATACCTAAGGAAATGCCTTTATCAAGTGAGGAATATGACAGTTATTTTCCGTTTGATGTGTTTGAAATTTTGATTTTGCCATTTCGGTATTTTTGTTATTTTACCGTTTGTTAATTATCCATTTTTAGACGGCGACGTTCCCTGGTCACCATCTTATGGTTTTATATATCTCAACTTGTTTGATTCGCTTGTGTATGTATCAAAGTATTTGATTTTAACGAAAGAAATCTCTGTATTACTAAAAATTATTACACCCCGGGTTATTGTATTCACAAACTTGTCAAAACTGTTACTTAATGTTATCATCAGTACAAGGATATCATTCGTAAATATAAATCAACATGTAGACATTTTATACGTTCAGGTATTTCGCAATCCATCTTTTATGGTAATTTTTAAATACAAAGAACAAACATGTCGTCGTTCACCTCAAAAGCTAACCAAACCTTTTCACAGACTTATTCAAAAGAGATATATTTACGATACCTTTGTCAAGTCATTAAAGATGGCATATTTTAGAATTAATTTTGATTCACTCTTTGCATCGGAAATAAACACATTTATTCTAAAACCAGATGTTGGCATCATACGGGTTATTTTCTCGTGTAATTTATAATAGCATGATACAAAACCCCTAACGGCAGGGATTGTGCTTGATTTTCATATGTTGAAGACATAATCTTTCGATCAGTTTAATTGAGGTCTGGAGCTGGCATGTCAGTAACTCCTAGTACTCCTTTGTTTACTTTTGTTGATCATTGTAATTTTGCTTAGTTTCTTCTGTTACCTATTCTAATATCGGAGTCGGACTTCTTTCAAACTGAGGTTTACTGTGCGTATTGCTGTGTGTTTGTTTATTCCACATTGGCTAAAGGTATAGGGAGAGGGTTTAGATCTCACAATACATGCTTAACCCCGCCGCATATATGCACCTGTCCCAAGTCAGGAACCTCTAGCCTTTGATAGTCTTGTGTGTTTTTAAATGTTGGTTTATTTATATGTTTAGGAGTTTAGTGTGGTGCCCATTTCGCTGAACTAGTATACATTATTGTTAAGGGGCCAGCTTAAGTCCGCCTTGAGGTATAGGGTTTTCTCGCTGAAGACCTATTGATGGCCTTGGACTGTTTTTTGCTCTTTGGTTGGGTTGTTGTCTCTTTTACTTCCCCATTTCCATTCTTAGTTCTATTCGAAATAGTTTGTTTCTTATACGCAATTAAAAAAATTTTTTTTTAATTCTGATGACTATAACAATAGTTAATGTATATAATTATAAGTATAAAATGTATAAACTTGTCATTGCTTCCTCATTGATTATTATTCTCTAGGAAAGCAATCACAATACATAATAAAAAAGATTAGCGAGATTCCGGAATTTCAGGCCTCACAGATAGAACTACTGATTTTGTTCCTCTAAACTTTACCCGACAGTCAAATCATGAAAACGAACTTTATAATGTTGCACTCCGTGAAATCTAAAACTTTAAACAACTGTATAGCAATCGAAATGTTTTTAAACTATTCATATAAATGGAAATGCAGATATAACGATACAAAAACGGTGAAGCTTTGACATGTATTAAAAAGGTAAGCAACTTGTAAATTGTTTTAGGGTTTTATGTTAACTGTAAAGTGTAAATTTACTCTTTGTAGCCAAAATATTATGAACTTTATGATGCCATGTATATTTTCTGGTACAGAGCTTAGTATAATAGTTGCACTGTCAAAGCCCTATAAGACATACCAGATGCAATTTATCACAAGCCCTACGGCACAGGCTACTGCAAATGATGTCGTGCCAGTTAAATTTCCCTGAAAAAAGAGGTCTCGGAAGCCATAGTAATTAAAGGAAATTATATTGCTAGACTGATTTCGTGCTTGCAAGTCAACAATATTTGTGTAACGCCTGTAGAAAGATGTGAAGATAATACGCAACAAAAATTAAAGATATTCGTCATTTTGTATGCATACATTACTGAAATTAAGATCTAACCATACCACTTTATATGTGGTATAATTTAAAATATATGTCTGACTAATTCATTCTCCTTAAAGTCTTTAATACATATCAAATAAACTCATCATAGATACCAGGATTGAAATTTTATATTTACGCCAGACGCGCGTTTCGTCTACAAAAGACTCATCAGTGACGCTCGAATCAAAAAATATTTAAAAGGCCAAATAAAGTACGAAGTTGAAGAGCACTATTTTAAAATATATTGCATAACTACTGTGAACCAGATTTAACCTGACTATTGGAGTAAATATAAAATTAAAGGCTACATGACATATGCAAGTGGGCCATATTCCTACTATACGTTGTTGTGTACTCCAAGTCCACATTCTGTACATAGTACTGTCTGATCATAAATGAACACGAGGTGTCGGATTTTACGGCCGACTTCAGACGTTACTGTGTCTTTATACATCACGGACAGCCACAGACGTCTAATCGACCCTATATATACAAGATAAGTTTTTAAAGTTGAAAATATATCTAAAAGATATTTAACATGAACACGTCTGTTTTAACACCACTTTCTAAAGGGCCAACGACAGTAAAATATAAATACAAAAAAAATGCCCATAATAAAAAGCGTATTTCAAATTTGAAAGAAGTTTACAAGTTTTTTAAATGCGATGTAAACTGATTGAAACACATACCATGCTCAGTTCTTTAATTCAGATGAGTTAAAACTTTATGTAAAAGTTAGATACCTGCTGGATCAACATATGTCCTGTTTATGCAAATTTCTCCAAATGTATTCCTGTTTTCATCAAAGAGACAGATGTAACCATCCGCAATTAAACAACGACTGCTCGCTCGTAGCAACCATTGCTTTGAACTTGGACACTTCAACTCAAACGCTTTTGAAAGGTTAAGGGCCAACTAGAAATAAAACAAAATAATACAGTGAGTCCATTGTACTATTAATATATTGTGAAAAGCAAACTGCATCTATTGTTACTGCTTGATGTCCAGTGTCATTTGAGTATATAATTTTTAGGTATGAATTCTTCGCAACTAATAAGTCTCAAGTAGAGTCTTAAATTGTAACCCTTGTATCTTTGACGATCTTTTAACCATATATCAAACTGTATTGCTTTCTATCTTACTTCGAAATCATTAAAATCTTTTAGGTCACTGTGCTTGAATCATTGTTGTAAGTCCAACTAGCACATCATCATCATTAATGTTTAATTACCTTATATCATATTTGATTTGTATTATGGAATTCGGCTTAAGTTAGTTAACAGCCTATTGATTGGAATATAAAAATTACTCTTCTAACTTACTAACACATTAAGAGTCGTCCAAAAACTAACAACAAGAGTGCACACGCTGAAACGTCTCGCCTGCTTTACTTATCATGTTGAATTCATGTCGAGAGTCTGTAAGATGAAGGTTTTACTACAAGTATCCAAAACTTAACATTATCAACGATCCATGTAAAAAGGGGTCAAGGTCAGAAAAACGCTACCAGACAGACATGTACACCTAAAAATCATACCATAAACCACATTTACTTGAAGTATCTAAGAAACGGACAATAACAAAAAACCATCCAGGTCTTCTATCATCTGAAATATAAATCTCTATACAAATAGTTTACGCCGTCTTCGCCGGATATTAATTCCTATGTCTCCCAATCTGCGACTTTTGTCGCAGGCGAAACAAAAATGAATTACTTCTCGCCCGCCAATCATCGTACCGTAAGCGGTAATGCACTTCGTGCTAACCGTTAAACATTTAAAAATCCTTTTACATTACAAGTCTTTCTCAACCTGATATCATAGAATTGTATTAAGTGCGTTAACCAGTTTGGACTAAAGTTTTACTTTTACAATCTCATGCTGTTGTTTGCCGATAGAAAAAGAAATTGATTTAGATAATGGACAAGAAAAGAAATGACAATATTAAGTAGTCAATTTTTCTACTTTAATCGGCCAACACGTAAGACTTGAATATTCTTGTAACTACAAAAACACCGTTACGATTACCATCAGCTAGTTAGTTAAAACATGACGTACATTAATCATGTTCTCAATTTATTTACATTACTATTATAATTTTTGACTGATTTAGAATTCCTTAGTCGTATTTTGCACAACGTTTCGTTTTTTAATGCTCTTTAATTTTGTATTCCAAATTGATTTGGCATACTTATGTATTGTATTCGGGCGTCACTTAGTCTTATGTAGAGAAAACGCGCGTCTGACATACCAAACTGTAATCCTGGGCTAGTGTCTTAAAAGACTAAGTGATGATCGAATACAAAAATTAAAGGCTTTTTATTGTCTTTATGTTGTTTATATATTTGCATTTATTTACAATTCAATGAATTTACACTTTTTAACCATACATTTTTGAAAGCTAGAAAACATGAAGTATTGGAGAGGGCATGCGGAAGAATCAGAATAGAAGTTTTTACTAAAAGAAGCAATTAATACATTGTATGTGTTTAGATATTAACGCAGGTTTGAAAAAAAAAAATGAATCAGTATAAAGCTTATGATAAATTATTTTTACCAACAAACATGCAAGGAACTATTATTTGTGTATAGCAAAATATGTTTTTTTTCTCACATAAAGCAACAACAAGAAAACATAGCATACAATAAATTCCCATATAGCACTAATGCAATATTTTGTAGTCATTGTGTTCCAATATTGCTGTCATTTGTATAATATAGTCCCTCCTGACATAAAAATACTACTGATTTACTATGCGACTATAAGATTTACATAATAAAGTACAAACATGGTCAGTTTTGGTTGATGCTGACAAAAAAATGTTGTTATACGAGTCAGTCTGAGGTATAAAAACTACTGATATTTGTTTACGATTCAATATTTCGAATAAAAAGAGGACATGCTGGCACTCTAAATTGATGCGAACAAAATTTTGTAATCATTGTGTTCCAATATTGCTGTCATTTGTATTATACAGTTCATCCTGACATCAAAATATAACTCATTTACTATGCGGCTATATAGATTTACATAATAAAGAGGAAATATGGTCAGTTTTGGTTGATGCTGACAGATAATTTTGTAATATGAGTCAGTCTGAGGTATAAAAACAACTGATATTTGTTAACAATTCAATATTTCGAATAAAAAGAGGACATGCTGGCACTCTAAATTGATGCAAACAAAATTTTGTAGTCATTGTGTTCCAATATTGCTATCATTTGTATTATCCAACCATTCTTACATGAAAATATTACTGATTTACTATGCGACTGTAAGATTTTCATAATAAAGTGCAAATATGGTCTGTTTTGGTAGATGCGGACAAATAATTTTGTTATACGAGTCAGTCTGAGGTATGAAAACTACTGAAATTTGTTTACGATTCAATATTTCGAATAAAAAGAGGACATGCTGATGCGAACAAAATTTTGTAGTCATTGTGTTCCAATATTGCTATAATTTGTATCATACAATCCATCCTTACATGAAAATATTACTGATTTACTATGCGACTATAAGATTTGCATAATAAGGTGCAAATATGGTCTGTTTTGGTTGATGCGGACAAAGAATTTTGTTATACGAGTCAGCCTGAGGTATGAAAACTACTGATATTTGTTTACGTTTCAATATTTTGAATAAAAAGAGGACATGCTGGCACTCTAAATTGATGCGAACAAAATTTGTAGTCATTGTGTTCCAATATTGCTGTCATTTGTATTATACAGTCCATCCTGACATAAAAATGGAACTGATTTACTATGCAGCTATATAGATTTACTGGATAAAGTGCAAATATGGTCAGTTTTGGTTAATGAGATCAAATAATTTTGTTTTAGAGTCATTCTGAGTCAGCCAGTCTAAGATGTGAAAACTGTTGAATTTTTGTGATGATTAAATTATTTGTATAAAAGAAGGACATGCTTGAACTGTTTATTTGTGAAGAAAAAGAAATTTACTATGATTAATTTTTAATTAATTAAAGAGGTGTAATAACATTATTAATTAACTGTAATCGTCAATATCTCAATCGAAAATGACCAGTTGGTCATTTAATTTTGATGTACCTTATCATTTGATATTTAAGGTCAGTGTATCCAGGATACGATGACAATCTGCGTTTACGCGCGTTTACTACAAACAGTACACGTGCGTTTACTTTTGACGAAAATAAAAGACGCGCCTTTTTTCACGTTAACGCGGAAGTAAACGCGAAAGTTAACGCCCGTTTACTCTTTACAAAATTAGAAGACGCGCCGTTTTTGCGTTAACGCGGAGGTTAACGCGAAAGTATACACCCGTTTACTTTTTATGTCTACTGAAATTTCGGAGTAAACGCACAGTTAACGCGGCGTTTACCCGCGTGCACTTCATGTAAACGCCGCGTTAACTTTTTTCCGCCCGTCTACATGTAATGCTTGGTCTGCACCCAACTGTAGCTTTAAAATTCATGACGTCATCAACAACAAAATGTTATTCTAATTTTTGTTTAGACTGCTATACAATGAAAAGGTAAATGCATGAGTATTGGGGAATATTATTCCGCGTAGAACTTACATTGCACTCGCAATCCGTACAATATAAAGTGTATTGTTGCTCTCTTTGAGAAAACTTTATAATTTAGTTCTTGTTTCCAGTAATATTATTGGTAAACCATATTTAAAATTTATAAATAAAAAAGAGACAAAATCGGATACATGTTCAAATCTACAGATTTGACAGAAGAACATAATTTTGAGAAATAATATCAGATTATTACATGGCATTTTTCATATCAGATGTATTTTCAGCCCAAGAGCCGGATGCTCGAGGGCTGATATTGACTGAGGGCTGATAATACATCTGATATGAAAAATGACATGTTATGATCTTTTTATCATATGCTTCAACAATGAAGAAAAATAGCAGTTTAATATATTGATCCTTTTTAGTGCTTCGTTTCCTCATGTAGAAGTCCAAAAAGTGAAAAGCTTACGGACGACGGACGCCAAATGTAATACATCTGATATGGAATCTCTCTATCATATGCCTCAACAGATTAGAAAAACAGTATATATAATATATTTTTATATTCACGATAAAAACAAATATCAACAAAACAAAATAAGCACTGTTTGGAAAAGTCAACATTTGTAAAGTAACGTGTTAAATTATGCTGGAAACTTTGAAAAATGCATTTATTGTATCATTTGTTTTGCATTTTACATAATATATTTTCCTGTTTCCTAATATATGTTTTGTACCCTACTTTGTTATGTTTTGCACTGAAAACGTACCATTGAGATGTATTTTCCGGAATTTGCCGAGTAATGCCGGAATGCCATGCGATAACGTTACGGAAAGGCATGCGATAATAGCCGGAAGCAGTTGATAAATTTTTCTTATCATATACTTAGAGTAAATAACTTATAATTTTTACAGTATGATAATAGCATTAAATTTACGTGAATTCCATATTTTCCGAAATGGTGATCAGCGGGCTGATATTAAAAATTTATCAACTGCTTCCGGCCATTAACGCATGCCTTTCCGTAACGTTATCGCATTGCATTCCGACATAGTAAACTGTTGTTTTTCTCCTCTGTTGAGGCATATTATAGAAAGATTTCATACCGGATGTATTACATTTTGGCGTCCGTCGTCCGTTAACTTTTCACTTTTGGAAAATCTACTTGAGAACCACTTAAAAGGATCAATATATTAAACTGTTATTTTTCTCCATATTCTCTGCATGAAGAATATGATAAAAAGATCATAATATGTCATTTTTCATATCAGATGTAATATCAGCCCTCGAGCCTTCGGCCTTTGTACAGTTGCTGCTTACAAGAAAGCAATAAAATCAAAGGTTTCATGCCCGGGTTTCGTGTTGCTCAGTCTTACGTTTTATATGTTGTGATTCGTATAGTGTT